CCAGGCTGTGCTTTGTGAGACAGACTTACAAAGGAAAAATTTCAGATTCCCATATTGGGAAATTCCTCTTATTTTTCCAAAATTTGGGGAAAAGTTGTCGAAAAAGTGGGAAAATTTTGGAGCCCTGTACAGCCTTTTAGTTCCCACTGAGGGATCTTTTTGGGAAAAGAAGATAACAATGTTTTCACAACTCAAATTTGGAAAAATTATGGGAATTCCCAATTCTGGGAAAGAGATGGGGCATCTTTTTCCTTCGGTGGGAAAATATTGGGAAAAACATTGGATATATTCTGTTTTGAAAACAAACACAATGTTAGTTTATAAATTTGTTTGTTATACGCGATTCAACGTAACCTAAAAGAAATTTTCTAGTAACAAGATAATGACCTGGGCGTGGGGTAGGCATTACGCCTACAATAATTCGTCGGTGTTGTGTCAGGAAGTTGCGTGAAACGCCTTAAGGTTTCCGCTACGCCCTAAGCACACGTCCTAAATCAATATATGTACGAGTACATTTTAGTCTTCAATTAGTTAGTTTCTACGTTCCGCTATTGGTATGGAAGTCTGCTGCCACTACCCCTTGCTATCTTCTTTAGTACAAGTGTAAACCAAAAGTAAGTCATTTTACTCTATTGTAAGTCCGCTCAGTCAAGTTTCCAAGATCTACTAGTTTCTATATCATTAATCAAAATTGGAGCAATATATGTACGGAAATGATATCCACAATCTATGGATATTATTTGCAATGGAAAAGGAAAGTTATATGAAGAGATTTACACTATTCACATCGTCACGCTATTAACGCTGTTTATGTTTACATCATGTTATTTTGTCAAAACAATACATTTATGATTCGGAAGTGAGGGAGTTTATCTATAATTTAGAAGTTTGAATGCTTATATGTGTTCTCAAGCTATTGTATGTCATCGATGTTACTGTACGCTGTTATGTTATTTTATGCTTAGATTAAGGTAGAAGTGGAGGTAGAGTTTTGAAGTTTTCGCAGTAGTGTGTTGAAAGTAGAAGTTAGTTGGAGTGTTTTTTCACTTAAATGGTTTATATGGCGTTAAGTAATACTTTCTTGGCTTCGATCAGTATAATTTCACAACAAGGTAGAATCTGCAATGTCTTTATTTTAGTTCGGACCTACAGTTTCGGTTAAACTACCAATGCTACCTGCAACCTCTACAATCCCCGACAGATACATTTTCATCTACGAACTTTGCCTTGTGCAATCGCTGTTACATCCGAACTTTCGTTATTCGTTACCCTAGATGCTTGATTCAACTATTCCAGATTCTACCGACTACTATTTGCTACATTGTATATAGTCGTTATTATTTAATTGATTATCGTCTGTTCAATAACTCATTTTAAATCAACTGTCGATTTCGAATTATCTACTTGTACCAAGAGACTCGTGTGATTGGCGAAGCTTGGAGTATCCGCAGCCTCCGAATAAGTATTCGCATCCACACAAAACTGTTATCTTGGGAAGGTATTGGGTTGTGTTAAGACAACTCAATTTTTCCGAAATTTATTTGTATTTGGGACATGATCTTCCAAGAGATGGGAAAATGTTGGGAAAAGAACATGCGTTGTTCCTCATCCGAGAGGTCTCTCACAGTAAAACTACATTCAGGCAGAGGTTCCCAAAACTCATCCAATTATGACCGGCTTTTAGAAACAGCTTGGCTTTCTTTCCACTGCCTAAGTTTGCTACCTCTATCCACTGCTCGTCCATTGCAGCTTGAGCAAGGGCAGTGAACATATGCATGCCAATATGATTTATCACTGCAACAACATGATGTGATGCTACTTCTTGTCCAGATCGTATCACGTCTACTGCTACAATTATACTCTCCACATTTGCCGCCATGTTACTTTTTCCAAAAGGTGTATGCTGTTTAAATAACGCAGTGGGCTCAGCATCGCTAGCCGCGCCTGGCACCTTTTTCAGCGGGAACTTGTAGCCAATCAATTTTCACTTTTTTAAAGACAGGCCAATCGCAAGCTACGAAGTAAGAAAACAATGCATGCTCGACAACTTCGCACTCTTTTCTCCCAATGCTGTTGTGTGGGAGGTTTTAAGTATAAGTGATCAGGAAACAAATGCAGAATACAAAACAGCAGTAAGCTTAACTTCTGCAGAGGAAATAAGTAAAAAATTATCAAAGCCGGCTCTTCGGCGAAGAAATTGCCAAAGTATTTGAAGGTAAGCCTTGGATTGCGGATTGCCGAGCTCATACGTGTAGTCTAAATGAATTATAAAGCTTGACTTTCTCTTCTTTTTCGACCATTTCTATGAATACAGAAGAAATAAACTACCCTTTGGGCATTTCCAATCTCCTGAGAAGAGAGGCAGACTCTGCAATCTTCGTGAAACTTGGTTTATCTTATGGGAAAGCCTTGCTATTCTGCGGAGAGTTTGAAAAGCTGATGCCACAATGTCTACCACGAGGAAAAACGACAAAGTTCCTCCAACACCGCCAAACAAGCCTTCTATGGGCGATATGGCCTCATTTTCTCCACAGATGAAACGTTTATACCTTTCGAAGTATGTGTTTTATTTTCAGAGTACTTTGACTTTATTTCCAAGTATGGACAGGAAAGTGTTTCAAAAGTTATTCTCATTATCCAAAGGAACGGCAGAGCAGTCTTTGCTATAAAATTGTTTTGAAATGCAGGCATGCAAGTGGCTGAATGACAACAATATTCAATGTTTTGGCAATTAGACAATGGAAATTCAAGTAATGCGAAGTTCAAGAAATAATCGATACCCAACTCTTGTAAATTTTAGAATAAATACATGAAAATGTGGCTTTACCGTTTCTATTTTGGGGTGGAGGGGAGAGGGTGATCAAAAAACATGGATAATGGAATTTTTTGCATTGTTTGAGTTTATTTATGAATCTTGAAGAGCACACGTACGCTGAGTACTCTGACTTTTTGCAGCTTCCAAAGATTCTTTGTTTCCAATGAAAACTGCCTCTAGATTTGTTGTTCCTAGGCCTGACAACAGCAGAGTTTTAATGACGAGACTTGAGGGCTAAAATTTCCTCACTGTTCACTGAATTAGTAAACATAGCATTATATACACTAGGCTTTTACCATTAAATGTTCTTCGTATAACTTTTTAAAAATAACTTACCGTAGTTTTATTTTGTGGTAATACATTTCAATTTGTACTCTTAATGGTCAATGGGTTTGTTTCATCTTCAACTTCTTCACATCTTGTGTTAATGTTTACAGATGCAAACAAGTTGGAGTACTGGCCTCTAAGCTTGTACTGGCAAGTTTCCAAAATTCAACATGCCAGACAAAAAAGCTGAACTTCAGCAGTTTGCTAAAAGGATCAGCGATGAATGTTCGCTGCCTAAGGCTGGCTTTTCCACAGATGGTATTGCTCAGCATATCAAAAACTTTTACAGCGAGCAACGAAGATTCCATAAAAACAAGCAAAAGGTATCAGAGTTACTATTGAAACTTTTGTACCTGGCAGAAGTGTTAATTACTTGGTTGGTTGGTTTGCGTTAATAAAACATTGCGAGATCATGATAATCATCTAGTGACCAACTGTCATTGATTTTGAGCTTGCAGTAGTCTACACAGTTGAATTTGTTGGTTGCAGGAACCAAGGTAGTAAAGGCTATCACCATTATTGCTTTGGCATCTTACTGACAGGTTGGCATTTTTCTAGGTTGGAGTATCACCAACAGAATCTACATCTTGCTCCACCAGCGAGGTAGAATTCACATCTGCTCCCACGCTTCCATCTATGGTAAACCCGTGATAAGATCGCTGGTCCCTAAGCATAATTTCCATACATGTACTGTAGTGCTCACTTGAAATAGAAATTAGTCCTTGTATATTAAATAGACCATAATACATTGAGAGTAGCTTCCCATTTTAGTGATAAATTAAAGTGAAATACATGCATGCCCATGAAATTGGGGATATCCTTCAAGTATTTGGGCCCTTCCAGAAATTAGAAACCAGGGCTTTTCATTTTTCAAGGCTGAAGGATCTTGAGGTATGAATTTGATATGAAAGGAGCTAATATGAGCTGTGCTGCGTAATTTTTTCTCTTTAACAGCCCAAAGAAAATCAGACAAAGGCTACCTGCAGGGAGAAAGTAACTTATAATTCTGAGGTCTGTATTAGAGTGTTGCTTGTTTGTTTGTTGTTTTTTCTATTCGCATTTTACGGTCATGCTATCTTGCCATCTGAAGTTCAGATTTCATTGAACCCATTACATGGAGTTGGGATAAGACTCTCCGGTAAACTGCGTTTGGAAACTGCCTGTGTACATTTTGGACAGCAGTATCTAAATCGGCGTCTGTAATGGGAGTTCTCCTTTCAGTGAAAGGCCATGCTCCCTCAATCGCCTTTTTATAGTGTTTACACAAATTCCAAGGACTCCGGCAATGTCAGGAATGGAGATGTTTTTTTCGATTAAATATTCCAGTTGCTCCCTTTTGATGTCAATACGTGGGCGGCCAACACTTCCGGTGTAGGACGTACTCTGACATGAATTTCCTGGATGAAAGGGGGCAAGGTTTTGTTCCAAACTCATTAAAATACCATTAACGGCATCATTCTCTCTCTCTGTACTGCATTAAAAACATGTGTCACATGTGCCAATCGCGCTAAATGGCGCGACAATTGCTTCAGCCAAAACAAAGCGTAATCAGCTACATCTTCGCAGACATCATGACGCAATCGTCGGGATAAATCCAAAAGAGTGAGCCTTACGCCTCTGTAAAAACTGCCATTGCTCCGTTGTAAAGGCTGTATTATCCGCAAGTTGTGCAATCCACAACAAAAAAATACAAAAATACCACTATGAGCAGTTCAGAGTACGTTTTCGAGTGGTTGTTTTTAGACACGAGAGCCGCTGGTCAAAAAGCGAAGCTCTGAACAGAGGACCAGGCCAGCCAGAATTCTGCCAGGAACCCCTGGCAAAAAGTATTCAATTCAAAAGGAGTTTATTCAATAGCTGTTAGTACGTCTGAGCCAGCGATTCAGCGGTCGTTACACGGGAACGAGGCTATTGGGTCAAGACCTTAGATTTTCTAGAGTTTCTTTGTGTCATCATTTATATTTCACAAAAACAGTGCTGAGTTCTCCGAATCTTTTGAAGAAAGGAGATGGTAAGGCATTGTATAGCAGTTGGCTGTGTGAACAGGAGTAACAAGGTTGAATGTAAAGGCCTTTCTTGGCATTCGCTGCCCCTAAATGACTCGAAAAGACTAAAAAAATGGCTGATCAACATACGAAGAACCAACACTCCAAAAACGAAAAGTTCATTTTTGTGTAGCGATCATTTTGCCCCAGAATGTTTTCAAAAGTCTCCTGGAGGCGTAAGGGGAAGGCTGAAGGTAGATGCTGTGCCTACTCTTTTCAGCTTTACAAAAGTTCAGACACAAAGAAAAGCCCCACAACACCGTTCGAATATGGCCACTCAACGTCAAGAAACTGCAGGCTTAAATAGTGACGAAAGTATTGCTAACGCCGTTCCATTAACAGAATCAAATGAAGTGGGACAGTCCATAAAAGAAGCAGACAATAGTCAGGATCAGTCTCTACAATTAATTATCAACGAATTGGAAGGGAAAGTAAAACAATTGGAACACGAACTTAAACAGGAGAGAGAGACAAGAAAGACACTAGAAGAGAAGCTTAATCGAAGTTTGTTTAATATCGACAACATCAAAGAAAACGATAATTTAATGAGATTCTACACTGGCTTCAACAGTTATGCTGTTTTTACTACAGTTCTTAATTTCCTTGGAAGAGAAGCAGCAAAACAGTTAAATTACACTAACACTGAACTAGTGCAGAATCCACCCAAGAGAGAGAAGCAAGGTCCAAGAAGAGCTCTCTCTGTGGAAAATGAATTATTTCTCTTGCTGTGTCGTTACAAAGTTGGTCTTTTAGAGGAGGATGTAGCAGTCAGATTTGGTATTTGCCAAAGTCTTGTGAGCCGAATCATCATTACATGGACAAAGTTCATATATTTTAGATTCTCAGAGCTAGACATTTTCCCAACAAGGGAGGTAATTGAAGCACATAAACCTGAATGCTTCAGGAATAAATACAATGGTACAACAGTGATAATTGATGCAACTGAATTGTACATTGAAACACCAACTAATCCTGAAGCACAGCAGCTCACTTTCTCTACCTATAAAAACGGCAATACTCTGAAGGCCCTAGTTGGAATTACACCAAGTGGTAGTGTTTGTTTTGTGTCTAATCTTTATGGTGGGTCTATCTCTGACAAAGAGATAACTGTGAAATCTAAACTCATGGATAAACTTCAATATGGAGATGAAGTGATGGCTGACAGAGGATTCAATATCCAAGAATTACTAGCAAGTAAAGGGGTTAAAGTAAATGTTCCACCTTATATGAATGAGGCAGGACAATTTACTGAACAAGAAATGCTCAACACAAGAAGAATTGCATCATTGCGAATCCATGTAGAGAGAGCTATCGAGCGCATCAAAAACTATCACATTTTAGATTTTATTCCCATTACTGTCTGCAAGAATGGGCTGGTTGACATGATTTTCTTTAATTGTGCTATGTTCACAAACTTTTTGCCACCTCTGGTGAAATGAATTTTTTTCAGAATCTTTCTTGAGCCATTCATTTGTTTGCTTGTAATTGTCTGGTGTTATAGACAGAATCAATATTTTTTAGGTGGGTGTTTCAATAAGGACAGCACACAATTTATTTACAACTGACAGAGTAATGAGTAAAATATTCATATCACTAGTTGATCTGAAATAATCTATTACTGTTAACAATCAAGATAGATTTAATCTTCTGCAGATGTCATATTTATCTGGCTAATAGAAAAAATGCTCATTGTATCTAAATTTATTCAAATGTTCTACATGTTAGTATTGAAAATCAGTTAATGTCATGCAAAATTAAAGTTGCAAGTTTTGCTGGTTCAAAGAGTATAGTGGAGTCAGTTTCCAACCAGTAAAAGTAATTATTACAATAGAAATTCACTTCTCTGTCAATGAGACAATAATATCCATATTTAAAACGATATATTTCAAAAAACACAACATCAGTAATCATAATTTTGAGATCATGCAAAAGTTAAATAATTTATAGATAGTGATTCCACTGTCATGTGCTCA